CAGAGAGGTTTGAGGGACTTTGCTGGCACTGTAACAAACCTGGGCACAAGAGAGCTCAATGTTTCGTCGGAACGAATTTACGGAAAATCAATTAACAAACGGAGACGTAACACTACAAATTACTAGTTACAAACTATGATACAACATGAACTTTTTAAATTATATTGATGGTATAACATTATGCTGATAATAAAATTACCTTTGTGCAACTACATCAAATCTTCCAACAACAAAAAACTTTCTATTGTAGGAAAATTTACATGAGAACATTTAATGATAACAAATAATAATAATACAGAAAATCTTCATTGTAGGGTGTTTTTCAATTTCATTGCAGAAAAACTACTTAATAAAATATTAACTGGTAGAGAGCGCTTTCTACAATCTTTAGTTTTGTTTTGCTCATGCGTAGTATCGAGGTTAGAATTGTTTATTCGGCAAGTTGCTAGTCAGTGAGAAGATACTAACATGATACAAATGTAGATTGAGTTTTGGCATTCTTATTCGTGAGAGGATAGGTTGCTTATCAGGATTGCATTATGCCGTTGCGATTCATAACATAAAGTAATAGTGATTCTGTATTTCGTTTTTTAAATTCTATTACTGTGTTTGAGTTTAAAACATAAGCCTACAGAATAAAACTTTTTAACTAGTTTCTATTCCCGAGGCTTGTTAACGATTATGGATTAGTCATACACTAGGCTTAGTCTTAGGGTGGTTACCTAACGTTACAAATGGGCTGCAGGAGTAGTATCACTATTTATGCTAGTGAGTGCTACTCATACTCATAGTAGTACTACTGTTAGTATTTTTGTGGTACTACTACTACTAGTATTATTATTTGTAAGCTTGTTTAAATTAATATGTTTTTTTTCATTAAATTTAAAGCTAAGGCCTTGGGTTTGGTCAAATTTTATTTTTATGTAATTTTAATGCCTGTTACTTTAAAATTGAATTGAAAATGTATAAATAAGTTAAAAGTACATTTCTTGTTTAATTAGTAAATGATGTAGCATACCACTACAATTTTTTGGGATTTGTTTGTAATCTAATAAAGTAAAATATCATTTAAAATGTTTTTAGTTATAAACTTGATGTAGCATTATTATAAATTATCAACAGACTCACCAAGTGCTACCTTCATAATTTGAACATATGTAAATTGTAACTAGTAATGTTGAAATTACTGACAATCAGTTTTTCAAATTCTTTTTACAACTGCAAGGATGTATAAGATGTTCTCTCACTGTGTTGACAAAGTATTTTTGATTTATTTATATTCATTATTTGGTTATTAAATTATACAGTTATTTTATCATAAAGTAAATCAAAATGTAATATCATTCCAATTAGAAACAGGGATTTTAATCATTTTCAATGAAGAAAGTTTTAAGTGAGAACTTTTTTCCAGTAAAAAATAGCATTTTTTAATATCATAGAATTCAATATATAATGTTAGAAGTACTGCATCTATTATTATTACTGTCATTGTAGAACAGGAATAATTTTGTATTACCTAAAATTAAATATCCCAATATAAGTTTGGTTATTTTTTCATACTTAATTTGGTTCAAACCAATAAAAAAGGTTATTTTTATTGCATCTCTGTAAATGCATCTTTGTTATGTTTTTTAATCCTGGCATTTACAGCTAGGTGATTAGTGGAATTGGATAATCAATTAATTATCATGCTCATTAATTGATTATTCTCACATGAAATTGGGACAATAGTAATAATAAGAAATTAATATTCATTAGTTGATTATTTTTGTGATTTTAATTTATTTATTTGTAATTGTGGATAATTTATTATTATATAGACACTAATTGATGCTCAGTTAATTAAGTATCAGTTAAGTTAATTTCCCAGCTTTACTGGCATTACTGATGGACTCCTTTAATTTTAAAACATTTTTCTAAACAAGTTGTACATGCAATTCTTTGTGGGTCCATGACTTCATTGGTATCAACTAACATATAAGTTACATAAAGTACTGTAGAAAAAATAGTCAATATTTCATTTAATTCCACTAATTACTGGTAGGATCACTTGTGTATGTTACAAAATGATGAGTGAATTTACCTAATTTTGTTATCATTTCCTTAAAGTGAATTTTGTAAAATGTGATAAAAAAAAACAAATTCACTCAGTATCATACAGGATGTAGACCCCACTGATAATGTATAATATGAACAACAAGAGACCTGGTCACTGTTTGGTCCTTCAATACTATACCTGGTGACCTAGCCTTGATTATAATTAATAACTCAAACATACATTTTATTTTTCAGGAAATTATCAATTCAACTCTTGTGAAATGCTAACAACTTGTCTCATAAGCTGGTCACTGTTAGAAAAAATTGTCTTAACCGAAGCTTGTAGTGTCTTTCCAAAATCTCAAACTTGCTTCTTCTGGTTTTGTTGTGTTCAACATTTGGCACAAAGGAATTAGGGGCACTTATCCTGTTGATCCTAAAGATAATCTAAACTTTAATGGTATTACTTATTACTCCTCGTTCTCAAGGGAAAATGAGATTTTGACCTCTTCATAACATGAACATTCTATCTATGAAATCACCCTATCACTGTAGTAGCTACAACTGGATGTTTTTCATAGGGTGATTCCATGGACTTACTGAAAAACATTCAGTTGTAGCTACTACAGTGATAGGGTGATTCCATGGACTTACTCCACTGTAGTAGCTACAACTGAATGTTTTTCAGTAAGTCCATGGAATCACCCTATCACTATAGTAGCTACAACTGGATGTTTTTCAGTAAGTCCATGGAATCACCCTATCACTATAGTAGCTGAAACTGAACGTTTTTCAGTAAGTCTATGGAATCACCCTATCACTGTAGTAGCTGTAACTGAACGTTATGTCATATACAATATTTTAAATGACATATAACTAGATAACTACTACTTTTAACTTGTGATCAGTATGTCTGTAAATACACCCTAAACATTTACTAGCTTTACACTATCAGCAGAGCACTCTCTGAGGGCTTGGGTGATTTACCCATCCTTTTCTTCAGTCATGATATTGCATGAGTTCTCACGTGGTATCCAAGTTATGATAACCTAACTGTAGTTTTTTTTTCCACTAAAAACATTAGAAATCCTTAGATTCCTGCTCACTATTGATTGATCTGTGAAGAATGAAAGAGAGATGCTAGCGTATCTGATCTTTGACCTCCTTTAAAATGCTGGCAAAAATCTTATTCTGTTGAGATGTTTATCTGTTTTTAATCTCATAGTCTTATGATTTACCACCAAGGGATTAATACTGCATTAATTTAGGTAAATACTGACATTTCCCTTAGAATGCTACGAGTCAGAAATATTACTTGTTAAACATAAGCCCAGCCATCTTGTACTCTCCCAGTAGCCATTTTAATGTATTGATTACCAATAATACACTTAAAAATACTTCAACTTCGTTTCAACGTTATCAGTCAGCTGTTTCTCATATGATCTTGAGGATTTTTAACCAAACCTCTAGCATCTCTATATTTTTCTAAGTCTTATCGTAAACTTATCAAGGTGGTTTAAGTGTTACAGTGCAGAATACGTATGAACAGAGAATGTTGAATGATCAATAACTAATATGATGCCTTTGTTAGAGATGAGAGTATGTTATTTCTAAGATTGTCATGTGAATAAATAAGTGTATGTTATATTAATGGCTATTCTACCAGAATAACTAACATTTTGTTTTTAGGTTTCATTTTCTGAACCATTGCATCAAGACCATTAATTGGATATAATGGTGAGATTTTCTTAATCTTTAATCAACTTATGAAACATCTGTCATATCTGTTTGTAGGTCTTTATTAACAACTTTACTGTTTTAATTATGATTCTTCTATCCAAGTTGTGAGAAACTGAAGTAAATTTTAGTAGGGACACTAAATTAGATAGACCATTGTCGGGAAGAAGTAGCCATCTTTATTATATATGAATAATTTGGGGTGAGCATCTCATTTAGTCCCCAAAAAAAGTCTGACTTTTAGTTTCATATAATTATTTTACATTTATGTTTAAAAGATAATTAAATTTTTTTGATAATTTGTGTACCTAATTTTTTTTGTAAGTTATATTACAAAACCAAAATGTATGGTTGTCAAAGGAAAGCAGTACTGTTCTCCAACATTTTAACGAACAGTACTACTTTCTTTGACAATGTTAAAATGTAGTACTGCTTTCTTTGACAACCATGTTC